GAAGATTGGGAAGCGATCATCAGCCCACGTCAGCAGAATCACGACATGGAGTGTCGTGATTCTGCTGACGTGGGCTGATGATCGCTTCCCAATTAATCACCATTGGGTACATTAGGTATGACAGTGCCACTCTTGTTTCTATTGGTGTACAATGTACTCACAGTTCGGGGTTTTTAACTCCGGATCTGAGCTGGCCAAGTGAGATCTTGAGGGAGAACAACAGACGCGACGTGAAGCGGCGGCCTCGAGGGAAACGTGCCGGCGTCAGGAACAGGCTGAGAGCCCGTGCACACCGCACACCTCTGCCTAGCATCCTGCTCGCCAACGTCCAGTCACTGGAGAACAAGCTTGATGACCTCAGGGCCAGGATAAAGTTCCAGAGAGACATTCGGGACTGCAATCTCCTCTGCTTCATTGAGACATGGCTGACCCCAGCGGTGCCGGACTACGCCATCCAGCCGGCTGAGTTCTTCTCGGTTCACTGCATGGACAGGACACGGGACTCGGGGAAGTCAAGGGGAGGCGGCGTATGTTTAATTGTGAACAACAATTGGTGCAACAGTGCGAACGTTGTTCCTTTGACACGCTCCTGCACACCAAATCTGGAACTACTGTACATCATGTGTCGTCCTTTTTATCTACCTCGGGAGTTTACATCGGTCATTATAAGTGCCGTTTATATACCACCACAAGCGGACACGGACACTGCCTTATGCGAGCTGCATGAGGCTCTCACCCAGCACCAGATACAACACCGGGATGCCGCATTTATTGTGACGGGGGACTTCAACGGTGCCAACCTCAAACGCGCAGCGCCAAACTTTTACCAACATATCACCTGCCCCACCAGAGGTGAAAGGACACTGGACCACTGCTACACTACGTTCAAGGACGGCTACAAGGCACAATCTCGCCCTCCGTTTGGCAAATCCGATCATGCCGCCATCTTCCTCATGCCAAAATATAAACAAAGGCTGAAACAGGAAGCTCCGGTTCAGAGGAAGGTCGCGCGCTGGACGGACCAATCGGTGTCTGCATTACAGGATGCACTCGACGAAACAGACTGGGACATGTTCAGAAACAGCTCCTATGACGTCAACGTGTTTACAGAAGCGGTTGTGGGATTCATCGGGAAACTAGCGGATGATACCGTGGAGACAAGGACTATCACTACGTTTCCCAACCAGAAGCCGTGGGTGGATAAAACCATCCGCGAAGCTCTGAGATCCCGCACAGCTGCCTATAACATGGGACTCGTGACGGGGGACATGAACCCGTACAAAGCTGCGTCATATCACGTGCGGAAGGCGGTAAAAGAGGCGAAGCAGCGCTACGGGAGGAAACTAGAGTCACAACTCCAACAGAGTGACTCTAGGAGCCTGTGGCGGGGACTGAGGACAATAACGGATTATAAAGCACCAACAACCAGTATGACGAACGCGGACGCGACTCTGGCAGACGAGCTGAACACTTTCTATGCTCTTTTCGAGGCTGCAGCTAAGGACTCCAATGACGCTAGCGCTAGCGGCGCTAACGGCTGCAGACAGGAAGATACTGCCATCACTGGAAATATGCTCGTCATCTCCGAGCATGACGTGAGGAGAGCCTTCAAGAGAGTGAACACCAGGAAAGTAGCAGGACCAGACGGCATCCCAGGTCATATCCTCAGAGACTGCGCACACCAGCTAGCTCCTGTGTTCACTGAGATATTCAACATCTCTTTATCTCAGTCGGTGATCCCCACATGCTTCAAGGAGTCCATCATTGTTCCTGTCCCGAAGAAACCCCACCCTGCTTCTCTCAATGACTATCGCCCCGTAGCCCTCACCTCAGTAGTGATGAAGTGCTTCGAACGCCTGGTCAGAGACTTCATCATTTCTTCACTACCAGACACACTGGACCCACTACAGTTCGCTTACCGTCCAAATCGTTCTACAGACGATGCCATCTGTCATCTCCTCCACACATCACTCACTCACTTGGACACTAGAAGGGGGAATTATGTTAAAATGCTCTTCATCGACTACAGCTCTGCATTTAATACCATAATTCCCTCCACACTCACCACCAAACTGGAGCACCTGGGACTGAGCTCAGTGCCAGTGCCAGTGGATCTCCAACTTCTTAACTGGCAGACCACAGGCAGTAAGGATGGGCGGACATGTCTCAACACCCACCACTCTCAGCACTGGAGCCCCCCAGGGGTGTGTTCTAAGCCCCCTGCTGTACTCTTTGTACACATACGACTGTGTGGCCAGTACCAGCTCCACCACCATCATTAAGTTTGCTGACGATACCGTCGTGGTGGGCCTGATCTCTGACAACAACGAGGCGGCCTACTTAAAGGAGGTCAGGAATCTGGAGACCTGGTGCAAGAGGAACAACCTCCTTATAAACGTCAGCAAAACGAAGGAGTTGATACAGGGTATCTGCAGGTTTAAAGGAGCCAAATTTAAGACTTTTTAAGACCTTTTTAAGGCCACTTTGACCAAATTTAAGCTATTTTTAAAATTAAATTTAAGCTATAATTTCCAGCTATTGCCTAGAAACGGTGCTAACCACGTCGCAAACGTGGGATTAGCCATCCAGTTACCATTAAACTCGCACTTCCCCATGGCGCAAGCTCCCACTAGCTTAACCAGCTAATGTGCTCATCTAAAAATAGCCCCCTTTCACAACCAACTGAACGTGTACGGTTCCGCTTACGCCAACATCGTACACAAAAAATGCAGAACACTAGAAATTCACGAACATTTTATAGAAATAAAATAATCTTGTTTATTTGGTCTTTGGTCATTTAAGACCTTTGGAAACTGGATTTAAGGATTATTTGTCATTTTTAAGGATTTTCAAGGCCTTAAATTTGGAAAAGCAAATTTAAGACTTTTTAAGACTTTTCAAGGACCCGCGGATACCCTGTGATAGTGGACTTCAGCACAAAGCAGGAGAGGAACTACCAGATCCCCGTCATCAACGAGTGCCCAGTGGAGAGAGTGAGCAGCTTCAAATACCTCGGTGTTCACATCACGCAGGACCTGTCATGGTCCTGTCACATCAACAGCATGGTGAAAAAGGCCCGGCAGCGTCTCTACTACCTCAGACGCTTGAGAGACTTCCGACTGCCCCCCAGGGTGCTCAGGAACTTCTACTCGTGCACCATAGAGAGCATCCTGACGGGGAACATCATAACCTGGTTCGGGAACAGCACCATGCAGGACAGACGAGCTCCACAGAGGGTTATTCGATCAGCTGTGCGCACCATCCGCTCCGAGCTCCCTGACCTGCACTCGATCTACAGCAGGCGGTGCTGGACCAAGGCCAGGAAGATTGTGAAGGACCTCAGCCATTCAAATAACAGACTGTTCGCTCTGTTGAGGTCAGGGAAGCGATTCCTCTCCCTGAAGACCAATACAGAGAGGCTGAGGAGGAGTTTCTTCCCGCAGGCGATACGATCTTTAAACCACACCACCACATATTAAGTGCACACACACATGGTTCTCACACTCACTGAACAGTCTGGACTTTGCTTAAGCACAGTTGCACTACAAAGTCACTAAAATGTGTTTGCACAACTCTGGACATTATATATATATTTTTTTCATTTCCATTTAATACTTGTTTAGCCGCTGTTTTGTACAGATATTTTTATTTCTTCATACATTCTTATACATTTACATACTGTGTATTTTGTTGTACAGTTACTTTATTCTCAGCTTCAACTTATATATATTTTACCTTATTCCTTCCCAGCTAAATTTACCTTTTATTCTAATTTGTATTGTGTTGTGTATTTTGTTGTAAAACTATTCTATTATTCAACTTTAATTCAGATATATTTTACCTTACTCTTTCCCAGTTAATTTACCCTTCATTTTAATCCATTGTGTCCAGTCTTTTTATTTTCAACTCTTAGGTCACGAGCAGTTGTGTAAGGCATTTCACTGCATTTCGTACTGTGTATGAATGTGTATGTGACAAATAAAATTTGAATTTGATTTGATTTGAATTTGAGTCCAATCATCATACTGAGAGTCAGCTAAGAGCAGAGGCACCAGAGTTCCACACAAATGGGAGACATGCAAAGTAACTGGACTGAGGATGATGTTGGGACAGGATCACAACAAACTCTGGGAGGAGACAGACATGTATTACTGGATGGCAATGTCCAGTCAGGGACTGTGGAAAGCGAGGAGCTACCTTGCATTTCAAGCTCAAATGATGATGAAGATGCTGACATATCACTTCACAGGAGGTATCCTTTCAGAATAAGAAACCCTACATTGAGGTTTACTTACCATAAGTTAGGGCAGCTTGTTATGCCAAATGAATGAGTTAAGAGAGTTTATAGAGAACATGTTTGATCAATAAACTCAGTTCTCATGCAGTTTTGCTATTTTCCTGTCATGGGTTCAAATATTTTGCTACAGTTTTGTTTAGGATTCTGGTCAGCATGTTTTAGAATAGTGGTACTTGTGAGGTCAGTTTAAACATTTTCTTTAAGGTTAAGTATACTTCTATGTGAGTACCTTACTCTCAGAAGAGATTGCAGATATTGATGCTACAGGCGAATCAAGTGGTGGATAGTCATCGTGCACAATGACATCAACTGCGGAAATATGACATTAACGGGAGATATGTGTCATATTTTAAGACTGGATACAGCATGGCATCTCTTTCTACAAATGAACTCTGACTCCTGATTAGATGTACTCTGCATAAATGTAAAGCATTTGAAGGATATGTGAACTGATTATTACACTGTGTTAGTGTTCGGTACTTGAATGTCGGGATGACATTACATTTTTGAGGGGAGAGTGTGAGAGAGTGGAGATGGCCCCCCCTCTCTCTTTAATTTGTTTGACTTCATTTCATGTCACTACTAACCTTTTAGAAAGTTCATTATAGCTCGACTTCTCCCTGTGAACTAAGTTAATGAGTAAACGATGCAGTAACAACATTTCGCCACAAAGGGGCACAACGAACACAGCGAGTACAGCTGACTCAACGGTTCTACGGTTAATTCAGTGCTGTTTCAAGACGCTGCTCGTTGCGCTGTCGTCTGTTGAAGACACTGCTCGTTGCACTGTCGTCTGTGTTAACAGGTAAAAATGCACAAATAGCACAATAACAGCAATGAAGGAGATTGGTTAGAAGTCCGGGCAGGGGCGTAGCACCAAATTCTGGGCCCTAGGTACAAGTCTTCTAGGTGGGCCCCCATGCTCAATTACTTAATATCTCTCTGACACATTTTTTGTCATGCTATAAGACAAGATAATAAATATGATCTTAGTTTAACCTCTATATTGAGCAAATACAAATGCCAGCATAATAAAAGTGAAATGCCAAGACTTCACATATAATTATTTTTATTTGCCAACAATGTGTTCAAACAAAAATCCTGGAATTTATTTTCCTGTAAATGCCCACTGACAGGTCTTCATGTTAGCAAAATCACTTATGAGATCTTTAAAGTCCAATCCTTTGGCTAATTGGCTTTCAATAGAAAAAAGAACTAGGCTGTTCAGTCTATCCTGGGACATTGTTGATCTCAAATAATTTTTCACCAGTTTCAGTTTGCTAAAAGCCCGTTCACCCCCAGCAACAGTCACAGGCAGTGTGCAAAAAATCCTCAGTCCAATACAAACTTCTCCAAAAATGCTCTGTAATTGCATCCTGTATGGCATTAAGCAGCTCAAGAGGAGACCGAATGTGTGGAAATGTGGCACCATATATTGTTCTCAGGTGTAGCATCTCATTCTCAAATTCAGCTGTGAGATCCTTGTAATATTTTCTCATCAGTGCCTGGCATGATGTCTTCATCTGCTCTTCAGTCATGTCTGTCATGGTTCATGATGTTAAGCTTTGCTAATACTGATATATCTTGATATATTAAATACATATGACATGAAATAAACCAGGTTCTCTCTGTGAATGTAATGCACTCTAAATTTTATAATCCCTGCATTATCAGCCAAATTATAAGATTGTCCGTTTTCAAGATCAAATATAAAGAAATTTAAAATAGGCTTAAAATATCTAACCAAGTCAATAACAATCCTCTAACACCAGTGTCGTCATGCTATACGAAAAACAGTGGCAGCTTCTCATTCCTGAGATTACCACGAATCCATCGATACCAAGTTTGTCCTGGTCCATGACTGGGAAGGAGCTGAAATATCCACACAGAGTGAACCTGTTTTTACTGCGAGGTCCGCGAATTAATTGGCGGCGGCCGCCCGCGATAATAATTCTGATTTTAATATATATATATATATATATATATATATATATATATATATATATATATATACATATATATATTAGGGATGAGCGAGTACACCACTATCTGTATCTGTACTCGGAATGGGCGTGGCATAACCCGGAAGTGGGCGTGGTTTAACCGGAAGTGGACATGGTTTACATCAATGTATTATTTTAAGTCTGAAATTTATATGGATTGATCAGAAGTTGCTATGTGTATTGTTTATTTGAAAACTATTTACAGTGCAGCCTCAGAAGTGAGATTAAATATTTTTGATCACAATAGTAAAGAAACTATTACAGAAAAAGTGTTTCAATAAAATCAGAACATTAATATTTGAGTGCATGGATTAATACATCTGAACCCATGCAGTAGGAACTAGGAAATATGAAATGCTAGAACCAGACACAACTTTATATATTTTTTTTATTTTAATTTGATTAAACTGATTTTTTTTTCTTAACGTTCTTGGCATTTTCCCACACAAAGTTTAACAAAGAAATGTTGATTAATGTGTGTGTGTGAGTGTGTGTGAGAGAGAGAGAGAGAGAGAGAGAGAGAGAGAGAGAGAGAGAGAGAGAGAGAGAGAGAGAGAGAGAGAGAGAGAGAGAGAGAAAAAAAAAATTAAAAACCCCACCGGAGCGGAGGTAGTGACAACAGCACGTCAGCTCTGTCTTGTCAAATGCACCATGTCAGTTACGAAAAAAGTAACTTTAAATATTCAACCGAAAAAGAGGCGAGCTGAAGAAAACCTAGGGAAAACTGAAGAAACGTGAGCAACAGTGAAGCCATCACAGCGCGATCCGTTACTGTCTGTGTGTGTGCGTGGATGAGCCGGCCGGACTGAGCTCCCGGTCGGCTAGAGAGTTTTGTAAGTAGGGAGGGGCGGGCGCTCTATGTGACTGGCCAATCACAGAGCGTGAAGACAGTCAGTTACCCAATGAAGATTTTCCTTCAGCACGATTACAGAGAATGACTCGTTTTACTAGTTTCATGCTCGTATTCATCAAAAATGCGTTATCCGTACCGGATACTCGTCTGAAATGAGTATCCGGCTTATCCCTAAAATTAGTGTTTTCACTGATAACACTAATTAATTTATATTTGATCTTGATGGTGAAACTAAAGGTGTTTAACACTGAACACCTAACATGAATGCAGCTTCTGAGAGCTAGCTAATATCAGCTAAAACTGTGTTCTGCTGCTGCTGCTCACCTTCCTTCTACTTGCTTCTGTTCAATTAACTTTTCCTCCTTCTCCTTCTTTTCTTTTCTGGAAGCCAGATTTCCCTTTCTTGGGAAAAGACATGACTGACTCTCCTGCCTCCAGCTCTGGCTGTCGGCATCTGCGATGTCTCATTAGCACATGCAGCCGGGCAGCCCCTGGCCGCTGGTGTGGACTAAACCACTTTGCACATTTTTAAGGGGTGATAGATGCCTCAGAGATTATTCAGTTATTATTTTTAAGGCGAAATTCTGTTTCTTAACCTCTTTATCCAGGTAAAGGGAAATTTATTAAGACATTAAGTAAGTTGGGGGAAAAAAACAACAACAATAAAACATTTTTATTCAAAGCTGTCTCAGGGCCCCTCCCTGCAGTGGGCCCTGGGTAAACGGTACCCTTTCCCCCCCCAGTCCGACGCCCCTGAGTCCGGGGTAATGAGGGGAATGTTGGCCGTCTATCTCTATGTTTGTTTTGTAAAATTTTAGTTTTATGTGGTAGCGTGAGTAAGCTAACAGCTAAGCTAACTTTTACCAGTTGTGCCAGGACTTACTGATGCTGCTATAAATTTTGTGTGCTTGAAAGGAGTGAGCTGTATCTGACTTATTTTTATTTAGGTCAAGCTAAGGATGTGAATGTTTATGTTAAGTGTTAAACGGTTAATTCAGTGCTGTTTGACTGTTGGAGAAGACGCTGCTCATTGCGCTCTCGTCTGTTAACAGCCAAAGATGGAATAAAACCCGCAACAAAACACACTGACTATTCATGTGTGCAACACGTACGTAAAAAGTTTAGATTTGTATGATGGAGAACGTGTATTTGTGTGGCAGCCAGAAGACACTTCGGTTGTATTTGTGAAGGCTCTCGACCTCCTTGACCGACCCTCAGCAGCGTATGTGATGGAAGTCAACCCATCTGTTATTTTAGGCTGAGAGCCGTAATCCCACCCGCCTACCTCTGCTGTAGATTGGCAGTGACATCTCAACAACACAGGTGGCCTGGACATGACACACACACACGCACGCACGCACACACACACACACACACACACACACACACACACACACACACACACGCACGCACGCACGCACACACACACACACACACACACACACACAAACACACAGAAAATGTCACTGGAGGACATGCCAAAGAGTAAACGTCTGAGATTTACCTACAGCTTCACCTGCTGATCTTTAAAACGTTTGAACTAAAATGTGTCACCGACTATTTCACACATCATAAATCATCTATTACTCACATCTATTACTATGTGTTGGCCAGTTTAATCCTGTAGTGTGTACAAGTCATTGGTAAGACCGGCCATGAGTTAATTTAGTTTGTCATCTTTGGTTCTGCTGACTCATTGTAAACGGCAGATGTCAGTTTCATGTCCACAAAGGTCAGCTTCTTCTTTTCTTAAATGGTAACTTTGCTCCAAAAACAGAAGCCTGTGAAGTCATCCTGACAGGTCTCTTTCATACATTTTTGTAAATAAGTTAGCTGTGGTCTCTGGTATGAGTAAAGAACTCTTGTGCTCTAAAGATAGAAGATTGTCATTATATGATTTTCCCTTGTGCAGTCGTCTGTTACGGCTGATTTTTTTGTTGTACTTTCTGCTTCGTGGTTCGCTGAACAACATGAATCTTCTGTTAAGTTTGTTAATGAAACTCAGATAACTGTAAAACATGTTGGTCTGGGTAGAAAATTTAAATAGCACAGGCCTGAACGTCCACCATGTTGTATATTTGCTGATGCTATCGGCTTAGCTTCTACTAGCCGAGATGTGCTCTGCTCTCTCCATTCTGTAGGCGGTCCCAAGCCAAGGTGGTTGAGGCCACGAATACTAATTTTCCCAGTGACGTGGGAGAGACGGGCTTTTTGTGACTCGCTCATTTTTTCTATTTCCTTTCTGCGGTTAATGCAGGTGATAGTGGTCCGTCATATACAAAAATAAAATGAAAGGAATAACGGTTGTTAAGGATGTACTTTTACCAAAACTTCTTTAACCGCCTTTTGACGGCCCTCAACAGTTAATAGCCGGTTAATCGAAAAAACACCCCTCCCCCCACAGTGCATTCTAGAGGCCCCGGTTTAAAAAAAAAGTCTTCTTACATTTAACTTAATATTTACACTGGCGTTTCTTTATTTTACTAGACAAATTAGGATTCAGACACAAGGAGCAGCACGGCACACTGACCTTTTGCTGGTCTTGGTTTGCTGCGTTGTGTTGTGCCAGGCTCAGCGCTTTGATGTGAGGCTTATTGTGTCCCAAGAATTAAATACTAAGAATAAACAGCTCCAACGCTGCCTTACTGTTAACCGCTTCGCGTTTGAGCGCATTTGTTTGGTCATGTGACAAGCTCATTTCTTCTTTTAAGGTCACCCAGGAAACATATTTGATAGCGGCCCTCTTCCCCCTTCTGGTGGCACAAAATATAGTGCACCCAGCGCAGCAGAAGAACTTGAAGCAGTTAACTGGGCAAAGCTAGTTTACCTGGTTACAACTTTAACAACAATTAACCGGTTAACTACGTACGTCCCTGACAGTTGTAACAGGAAATTACTGCTCAGTTGATGCAGCAACATTAAAGTTGAGAAAAAGAAAGGGTAAAAGTG